CGGGCCACCACAATGATGGAGATGCTTACCTCCGATAGATAGGACTGTTATACGGTGAAGTGACAATTTACTTCACATCCATGCCCCCAGCTCGCCGAGCATTGTGGATTAACACATCCACATTTTTAGTCACGGAGACTTTCCTCAACTGATTTTTTTTTTTCTCTTCTAGAGGTGAATTCTTTGAAAAATGAAATTTAATTCGTTCCTTAGAAGAATAGAATCTGGTCAGCGGTCAGTTGTGACTGTTCATGATCTGATGACATTGACAGTTTTGACACCCCAGAGGAGGGCAAAATCAGTAAGCCTCTGTCACAATTATTTCCAGTCTCTAACGTAAACGACACGATCGTATGCCGGTCGTGTCTCAGGTAATGGCAACGTCAAAGCTCGATCAAACGCTAAGAGGTCCACACAAAAGTTATACCCATACTAAGAAGGCTGTGCGGATTTTGTACCCTGCAAATTTTGAACACTTCACTGTCACAAGGCGTGCCTGAAGACGTCATCATCTGCCCTCCTTTTACGTCATCTTCCACAGCCCTGGTTCTGGTTGTCTTCCTTTTTCTCTTCTACTGCAAAGTGTATGCTGTAACAACAATAATGAAGCTTTACTGCAAAACGGAATAGTTGGGAAGGATCAGCTTTCTCTTTTAAGAGCTTTCTGCATCTCGTTATACAAAGCCCATTGGCAGGGACCATCACTCACTGAATTTTGTCCATTAAAGAGGCACCTTTATTCCTTTTGCCTCGACTTCAAAATAATCAGCTCGTCATCTCCTTTTCATTCCCCCCAAATGCTTTTCGTTTTTTTATGTTTTTGAACAAGTCCCTCTTTTGTTCTTTGCGCCTACATTTTTGCTTCATGATCCAAAGCACCGATGGAAATTTCCCATGGAAAGAAGACAGGAAGTTTCCCACGGAAATACCAGTCTCCATCTCACAATTAATACCCGTACCAAATCAGGCTTTGAAAGCTTAAAGCCATTTTATTTCTTTTCTCCAGAGCAATCCTTCAACAAGCAGTACAACTCCAAAGAGCCATCATGTTTTAGAAAGCTAACCAAGCGTCATTCTGAACCCTAAATCAAGAAATGGCCTAAATTCCGCAAGTACATCACTTGCTAATAACAAGGATAGACAGCTGAAAAATAAGATTTCAACCATCCCCAAAGTGGGTAGCTAGTAGTACTATGTAGGTGGAACTCACTGGAAGAAAATACATACATGCACATGAAAAGACCATAGGACAAAATTACATTTAAGCAGAATATTAGAAAGCAAAGTAAAAATGAGGACTATCATACAGACAGGACCGATCAGAAATAAGTGATCTACAATGTGGTAATACGCTATCCTGCCGCTTTCCAAATAAAACAATCATCTTGAGATCACAAAAGTGGTTTTTTTTTTTTTTTAATTGCTTAATCTTCCACTATAGGAGTAGTTTATGTACTCAGCAATCAGTCTATCCACTTTCAAGGTTGAGAATTATCCGGTGTACTTCTGAATTTTGTCCCTAGTAATTCAGTGTTATCTAGTTAGAAGCTAGACGTTGGGGCTTTAAGTTGATTTGGTGTAGTGAACTTTAACAGACAAAGGTGCATGACAAGTAGCAAGAAGCAAAACTACTCATCATAGTTGACATCCCTATCAATTGCTCTGGATGATACTCTTAGATGAAGGTCTCAACCAAAAAAAAAAAAAAAAAAGGGAAAGAGAACTCACACAGTTAAAACAGGCAAAACGAAAATTGGTGGTTAAGCAAATAAGGAGAATATGACTGTCTAGCACACCAGATCTGACTAACCCTTAAAGCATGTGAAATCAAGCCAACAAGTTTTGACCTGCAAGAAATAAAATAACACAAGTTGCATCATGAACCAGAAGTACAAGAGAGGGAGATCAAATGAGGCATGAGAGGAACAGCAGTTGATTGCTCCATTTATGTTATCCTCCGGCAAAAAGCATCATAAAATGTAAGTGAACTAAGAAAGATACTCAAATACCAATTACTTTCCTTCAGCAATATTACCCACCAGAATGTTTCTGGTATACATCATAGTACACACAAACTGCAGGCACACGCATCATCACCAGCTAAGTAATCAAAGAAATTGAACAAATCAGTTAAAAACTTCAAATAATTATTCCTTGAGTAGCCTAGTTGAACAACAATTTATGCATGTAAAACACGAAGACTACCAAAAGAGATGATTGTGATACATCAAATTATAAGCTAGTTAACTGATCCTTTGAGGAACTTGTGATGAAATTCTCAATTTAGAATCTTCAATGTTGGAGACATTAAGTATTCTAAGTAAACTGACGCAATTGTCGAAATATCCTATAAAATTTTACTGCGATCAGTTGATTTCAAGCACTTTGAAAAGCCCAAAAAGGGCCTTGAAAACAAATCCAAGACCATAACTTGCAAATTTCACCTGAATCAAAAAAAAAATATTAGTAGATTTCAGAGTGCAAGATCCGGTACAGCAAAGATGATCAATTCTAGTGAGATAATAAAAACTGAATTAAATAGCTGTAAAGCAAGTAGTAGATCAGTTGATTCAGTTCCTCTTGTAACCATGATTCAAAGACTCGGCCGAGTCGTCACCCGAACGGAGTTCTCCGATACGATATCTGGACGAGATGACTCCAAGATAATGGATCGTTGAGAACTTAGCCCGAAACGTCTTCGAGACAGATAGAAATGGCCGAATCATCCCGAACTAACTCGAATTTTTATTATTTTTGCTAATTTTTTATCGTTTTTGTTTATCGTATTTTTTTTCATTATTCACAATTTTTAAAATATTAAATGTTTCAAAAATTTGCACCGATATGTCAAGATCGATAAGTAATGGTCCGGACCACGTCTGCAATTTTGAACCATACTTGTAACAGCTTCAATAATCATAAAGACTTAGTTTAGTTGAGAGCATTGGAACATAGACAAAAGGGAAAACGGCCTGCCAGTTTCCTATCTCTTTGACTGTAAACCACTACCACCATAATACTGCTTTGTAGTTTCTCGTGAAAATTCCGCAAATGTCATTCCATGTCTCATCCTTAAAGAAAGAGGTGGCACTATGTTATGAATCTCTCGAAATAAATCCTTTGGTTCCAGCTCTGCATCGTGATTATCCTTAGCGGACAAGTCAGCTTGTTGGTACCCTGATTTTAAGCGCTCCGCAGGGTAATCCAAGAGGGAGAAAGTTCTGCTCCAAGCTGGCTGCAAAAAGACAACAAAGGTTTCCCTGCTCAACTCTACCAGGTCGACCGGCTTACAAACACAATGAAGGGTGGCCCGAAGCATCCCTTTTGACAATATATCAGCTGCTTCCCCAACCTGAACGATGACACTTTCGGGAGGCGCCTTGACCATAAACACAGAATCCTTTTCTGGATGAAATATCTTCAAATATGTATGCCCACTAGGAGAGGGGAACTCTTGATCACTACTCAGTATGAACATTGGATCTGTTAAAACCGTAAATATTCCATAATCATAATGCCATTGTTGCCATAAATCAGCCCGGCCACCACATGATGATCTGGCAAGAGCCCTCTGTAAACTTGCTTTTGTTGTCCCATTAGCTGGACATCTGCCGTTAGACAGTCCCTTTCTTTTAGCAGCTTGTTTGATTATACAATTATCAACAGTGGAATGATAGTGTATCAGCCGCCCTTTTGCGGTGCAGGATTCCAACAAGCTCTGCTCAAGCTCTCGGCTACCAATAACCCCATCACAAATTCGTGCGAGACAAAGTCCAATCTCCATCAGCCTGATCCCTAGCTCCTTAAAGTCATGTTGGAGATTCTCAAATTCTGCAGACAACTCATCTTTATGCCTCTCTATGTCATCATTCACGACTATCGCCTCACCCTCGGTGCCATCCATATCTGTTCTATTATAGTTTAACTGTGAGGCAAAAGACGATACTATCCTATCTAAGTTCTTCAATGGAACATCACTCCCCAGATTATGCTCCTGTAAGTTCCCAAAATTTTCAGAAAACGTACTCTCTTTTTTTTCAATATTTTTTTAAAATTTTCCAGAAATATTCTTAATTGGAACAATTAGAGAAAAAGTTTACCTTGAGGATGCGGTTTTGATCCTCGTAGTTGAGTAGAGCGAGTTTGCGGGCTAGAGGAAGAAGACTTCTGCGAAGATTGGATGCAACGGGGACGGACTTGACTGCGATTAGGCCGGGTCCGGTGGGGCCTAGGTTTTCCATCACGGTTTGGGTGATTAATTGCAGCCGTTGGATTTGTTGAAAAGATGAAGAAGATGAGTCTTTGGCAGAAGATAAGAGGATCAGATCAGAGTAATCGAGTTGGTAGAGTTCCAACGCTTGTCCTGCCTCCTCCATTGCGGGCAGCCCCACCCTCTCACTCACTGTATCGGGACCCTGGAGACGGTTGTCGAAGACGAATTTCGGGCGGGTTTTATTCGAAAGACGCCCTTAAATTATACAGCCGGGACGCGACGTCGTATTTAGGCGATTGAAGGGTTTGTTTCCACAGGGTGTTTATAAAATATTGCTACTGAAACAATAATATATTGCAAATGTGTTTTGTGAAAGAAAAATATTTTATTTTCCTTTTTGGTTAGATAAAATATCTTTGAAAATTTTCAAAAGCATATATTTCTGAATGTAGCAGAGTAGTGTATAATCAGTTTTTAGAATATGAAATGATTTAAAATTTTTGCAAAATAGAAACAAAGCTACGTCTGTGTAATCAGTATTAATAGCTACGTCTGTCTGTAAAGGGGAAGGGGAGTCAACAAGAATCCCATCGAAGGAAGCTACCTGAAGGAGGTAGCCATGGCCAGTTTGGTGGGGGACGATAGCTACGTGGTAACCGTCTTACCGCCACCACTAGCTGCGAGGCCATGGAACTGCTACTAACCTAACTGATCCATATGATAATCTGCTCAACTTTACATAGGAAGAGAATATATTAGGAATTTCCATAGAGAAACAGTTCATATTGAGACCCAATAACGATAGAGCTGTGAATATAGAGAGACTCGATATTGGCTTTATAATAAACACACAAAACGGGCTTACACTTGCATCAGTAACCGAGAATGCGATCGAAACATGTGTGTGTACAAGTTTCCGAAAATCGCTCCCCATTGACGAGTAAAGTCTAGATTCCCCCTTGCATTCTTCAAGAAGAACGGGTGGAAACCTAGACCGCCAAACTAGCACCATTCTGACAATCAAGACGACTTTACCATCAGAATGTTACATGTAACAAGTCAATCAAGGAGGAGAGTTGCAGAAAACAGCATAAGAGTAAAATTTCTCCAACTACTTGTCACGAACAAGCTGGCTGTTCATTGAGGATTGAGGAAACGTGCATCTAAACTCTAATATCCCATCAGCCAGAGACTAGAGTTGCCTGCTATCAGGCAACGTTCCCCTTGAAGCTCTTTGTCAACCAAATAGCAGTTTCTCTAGGAGAAACCTTCTCTGGTCCAAATGGCTTCAGTAACACTGCAAGTTCTTCGAAGCGTTCTTGCTGCATTAATTGTGCACTAAACTCGAGCAATCCTTCCAATGCTTCAGCTCTTTGCTGGAATGATGATGTGTCAAACCTACGCTGCCGAGAATCTGAAGACGATCGGCTTGAAGCAACAGTTGCTTCATTATGCTCCGAACATTCACTTCCATATTGTTGAACTCCAAGAGTAGGCTCGGCAATTCGTGGTGCCGCTGAAAGTGTTGGGCCAAGTATTTGGATTGTGCATTTGTCTTTGGTGATTGAAAGGTCGCGACTATATGGTGAGGCAGGAGAACACTGAGCAGATGTAGATGAACATCTGCGGATGGGGAATAGATTATCCTCAGAGGAAATCAAGGGAAATTCTACCATTCTGTCAATACGTGGAGCATTAACTGAAACATCCAGTGAGTCCAGACTGTTTTGGAGGCGAGTGTTGGGTATATAAGGTGCCTCCAACTTTACAGCTCTCGATGAAATTGGAAGAGACACTCTACGTGCTGATCTAGATGGTTTATTTGTTGGGGCATGTGATACAGGAAGCTGCACATGCATGCACCATGCCATAAGTCTACCATAAGAAGGCAGAATTCGAAAGTGTATGCAACATAACTACCAGACCGCAACAAGATTGAAATCAAGAACATTAATAATTTAGTGACAGAATAAACTCACCAACTCACGAGTTGAACCAGGATTGGGTATCTTGGATGGAACTGTATGTATCCTAGGAGTGGAAGAGACTTTTGCTGAAGTCAATTTGGGTGTTTTGACAGCAGTTGAAACCTTTGAGGGCATAGGCAAGGCCTTCTTAACCCCGAAATCATCACTGGTACTACCAATAGACAAGCATGAGAATTTCTTCTCCATATGGCTCGTAAAATATTTGACTTTTTCAGAGGAACGAGGAGAGTCCATCTCAGTTCCAGAAATACTAGGATTCAGGGCTCTGTTATTGCCAAAAGATTGCCTTCTTTCCTTATCAGAAAATGGAGGAACAGGTTCAGGCTCCAAAAATCTGGTCTTTGTCAAAAGGTTGGAACTGGGCCATTCAACTGGAATGGTGTGTCGTCTAGGACAATTAGATTTCAGATGGATCTTTAGGACATATGGCTGAAGATGTGGGTGTCTGAGCAAATCTGCAGCCTGAAATAGGGATAAGGGAGGAAAGTCCACGTGAGCTTAGCCAAAGTAAGCATGTAAAGTTCCGACATGCTGAATACAATTCTAACGAGAAGCAATCCTCCACATAAAGACAAGAAATGAGTTTAAGCAAACTAGCAAAATCCAATTTTGTTATGTATGTGATTCTGTTCCTGTGCATAATAAAAAGATTTATCTTGAATACTTACACTAGGTCTGAGTTCTGGGTTTTTTCTCAGCATGCTCTTAATTACGCCGCGACTGGAAGAAAAGTAGGGAGTTAAGAAAGAGTAAAGAAAGACAGGGAGGAGGGGGGAGTCAAAGCAACTACAAAATTCTTCACAGAATTGTATGTTAAGAGGATGTGACAAAGATAAGTAACTCACAATGCACCAGAATACATAGTAGGAAGCGGTGCGACAATAGATTTGTTTATTTTATTAATCAAGCCTTGCATGTCCTGCACATGAAAATCAGGAGACAATCAGACAATAGTTACATAAACAGATCACAACCAATGATAACAATTTGCTTTTCAACCACAGTGGCTTCTCAGTGAGATAACAGGAAGCCCAAGATGGCCAGAACTGACTCCAATAACAAAAAAGTTAAGAATGAAGGTCTAACAGAATACAGAATTAGTTCATATTCTTGCTTTCTGACCATAGAATTATTTTCCGAACTACTCCTCAGCAAACGGTAATTATGATGGACAGAATTCTAATTGCATTGATCTTTCAAATAGGTAAACACTAGCGCGCACGCACACACACACTTATATATATATATATATAAAGTTATAAAAGCCCATTTTAGAGCTAAATTCTAACTACAATTTTAAAATTTCAAATAACCGAAGCTCCCAAACTTGACAAAATCCAAATTACGACTTACAAAAGCTTTAAATGCAGGCTTGTACGCAGTCATTTCATACATGCAGCATCCTGAATAACCCAACAATTAGCAAGGGAAGAGATTCACAAATCAAGACTAGAAGACAGCAAAACATCAAAGGCTTACCCAAAGACCAGATATCAGACTTGGATCCATAAGGTATATCTGCAAGAAGCTCTGGGCACATGTAGCTCGGAGTGCCAACGACCTGCATTAGGGAAACATAGAAAGTGATCACCTATGGTATGAAGAAATAGGGGATAAAAAATCAAGTACAATAATAACTGGCCACTAACTGAGGAAGCAAGATCATCAGAAGTCAATACTTTAGCAAGACCAAAATCACCTGCAAACAAGAATACTAGTCTGAGAAAAGTAGCTACCCAAAATGGGTATTATTGGCTGCTAAGTCCTAAATGAACGGAAAAATCCATAAAGATAGCAAAATCCACCAATGTCTCATTTACCTAGACGAATGTCTTGATCTTTGGTCAAAAAAATATTTGAGCACTGAAGTATATAAATATGTCAGTACAAAGTAATAACTGTGATAATAAATGTATAACAAAGTTTTCTCAAACTTTCAACATAATGCAGATAAAGACGACTTACCTTGACATCGCGGTGAAGAATATAATTACTATGCAAGTAATCAAGTGCCATCAGCAATTGAACGAGCCATCTGCAAAGCTTCTGCTCACATTTCAACTTTTAGATATGAGACTATACTTCTTATGATGGATAAACATAAGATGCATCTGAAATTGTAACGTCAGACAGGAATAAGTTAGGACAGATAACAACCTCCTTGGGAAAATGAACACCATTTGCCTTCTTAATAGCCTCCGCCCTATTATGAGGAGATGGTAATAGCAAAAGTCACATAAATCACACGTACCATGATCAGAGAAATAGTCCAATACATGTAAAAGAGTTAACCAACATACATGTCTCCTCCTTCACAATATCCTATAACAATGCACACGTAACAACCCTGCAAAAACACAATAATCTCAAAAAAAATTCACTAAACAAGCAATGTGATCATGCAAGTTTTACCAAAGATAGAAGCCATTGCAATACACCTTTGTTTGTGATTCACATGACAATTATAAAATCCTTTATCAAGATGATGGTGATTCCACATGAAACTAGCTTCCATGAGTTGAATTTCTGCATACCTTTTCTACCCAGGAATCTTTGTACTCGACGATAAATGGGTTTCGTGCTCTAGAAAGAAGCTCCATCTGAAAGTAAAAATTTGTGGACATACTCACCAAAAAGAAAAAAAATGAAATGAAAAAATAAAAGCACAGTATATCCATGTGAAATTAAGAAACACTTTATATTAATAAAATCTCGCTTGACTGCATTTTTTTTAACAAGTAAGAAACTTCAAGAGCTTCGAGTTAAATTTAGAGAAATCAACTGAAAAAGTGTCAAGTTATGATTTCAACCTATGAAATCCATGATAAGGTGTAAAGGCTTAAAGCCCAATGGAGAGATTTTAGCTTGCTTAATAATCAAACACCCTACGGTTACTGAAATGCCTTTTGAAAGGTATGCCTGAGGTGCCATAAGTAGAGTTGGAGCTTTTTGTATTCGTTGACTGACCTCCTGGTGGGCAGACCTGCGCGTTCTGTCGGTTTGGCGAGCAAGACGTATCTTTTTTAAGACATACCTTGAACATTAAAAAATAACAACAGCTTGAAAACTATGCGATCCACAACTAAAATAGTAACACAAAGTACAAAAAATGGGTTGACAAACGGCATATGTAACTTGGCAGCCCATTTAAGTTTGAATGAAAAGTGCGCATAAATGGCAGAATACTGGAAACTTCCTGACCTTTTTTTTTCAAGTTTATGCCTCACGAGTAAAGCCGAACCAAAGGAACCTTTACCAATCTGCTCCAGTATCTCGTAATTTTCCATTTTCTGCGCTTCCAATGCAACAACACCTAACTTCCACCACTAAAGATGACTCCAGTTACAGTTGCAAGAATCACATTTCAGTTACCTGCACTAGAAATTTGCCAGCGAGAAAAATTAGCAAGTGGAGTATGAAAGACAAAGATGATTAGAAAGCCAAGCAAGCAAACATTGGCATCAACTCCTTCAGCTCGTGTGTTATCGTATAAACTTTCATTTGCCAAAACTAGGTGATAGGCCCGCAAATTCCAAATTTTGGTCATCTAATAGCCAAAAGCATATATATATATACACTAATTTTACTGTTATTCCAAGAGAGTGAGACGATACAGTTAAATATGCAATATATCCCAAATCCCAGATACCAGTGTGGAGCAGAAAATGGTGCTTTCTTTACAACTAAGAGAGGAAACAAATCTTCGATAACCAAATAGTAAAAGGGAAAAAGACTTAGATAGCAGTGCAAGCCACCAAAGAACCATCAACTATTAAAAAACGGAAGAAAAAAAAAACCAAAATAATTCGAGACATCAGGGATTTGTTAGAGCATAAAGCTAATAGCAGAAAATGGCAGAGTTAAACACATACAAGAAACATGATAATCTCAAACCATGACCAACCACAAAAGGTAGAAAAAGTGAATGAAAAAGGAACTAAACTACCTGAATTTTGGAAATACAAGGTTGTAGCTCAAGCTGATAGCATGCCGTATGTATATGTTCGTGGAGAAAAATAATAATGCTATGAGAGGATATAACAAAATGACACAGAAGAGCCTACATATTTAGCTGCAAAAATGAACAAAAAGCCCTGGATTTTCCTCCGCTGATGTCTACTCCTACTACTATTACTATATCAATTATTTTAAGCGCCAAAGTATTTTAGAGTGAGAGAGACGAAAGGAACAGCAGAGAGCGGCGAAATAATTTGCTCCAATTCTTCCAAGTAAAGCGAGCGATGCCACGGGAAAGGCGTGGGGTGGGACACGAGTAAAAAGAGAGTGGAATATTAGTACTACTATATGTATTTTCCTCCAGATTTCAAACTTTCAAAATTTAGACAGCGGTCCGACCCACCCGGAGCCCGAGGGGTTCCGGACACAGAAACAGAGGAATAAGCCCTCACCATACGACGACCGTCCCCGTGTTTCATGATTAGGAGATCTTCTGTCTCATCTCATTGTTACTGGGCGTTAAATTCAGTATCAATCTCCCTCTTGTTATGTAAGAATAGAAAAAATTTGAATAAGTAACATATGATAAGTTAAATTAACAGAATATTTTGTATAAATATAGAAAAAAGTGGCACTGAGAATCCCACGTGCATGATCATGATTCATACGTTCGTGGAAATAGCGAGATATATATTATATGTATTTTTTATGTTTCGCAATTTTCATGCTTAGCTTTTATATTGTCTATTCTTCGACGAGATGAGTTAAAGTACTCCCTCCTCAACAAAAATAGGCTTTACTTTTTAATTGTGTTCGTGTCATATTATGGCCCCAATTCAAGTTTAAAATCAGTTGATTAATATGTTGATATTCAATGCAGACATTGTTTGGATAATGAAATTATCCCAAATAATATTTCGCTTGCATCATAAACACATTTTTCAACCAATTTTTTTATATTTCCAACCATTTTTTTTATCTCACATACATCATATCACAAAAAGTACTATAGTAATTATTCCAAATAATAGTCTATCCAAACAATCATGTTAACTGTATTCAACACCAGGGCTTCCGTCTTCTAAGATATTGAGTTAAATACTTCATAACTATATTCAAAATATAAAAAGTCTCTCCATTATCTTCGAAGAGAACTAAGTATATTTGACTGTTTTAATTACATTAATTTACACATCTCAATATGTAAAAAATGAGAGTATAACGAGAGTAGGTCTACTTTTATAGGATGAAGAAATACTTGTTTTCTAATTCTGTGTTGTTGCAAAATCATTTGAGAAATCTCAAGCATGAGTATGTCCATTGATTGTACAAAATGAATGCATTTGTAACCTCCTCTCTTCAGCAACTTAGACAGACAGCGTGACGCCAATCGTTTTGTCCGTATCGAATTGGCACCACTAACTGACTAAAGCCCGTGAAGGATGATTTTGTGTTGTTGTCTTTTCAAAGAAACATTTCCCTGCAACAACCACAGACAACATCCAGAAGGAAATCTACCGGATTGGTGCAAGCGGTAGACCGAAGAAGATGTTTAGCGTGAGCCAATTCTATGTAAAATATAGGAAAGTTTGAAAGGCGAGTCCTGATTTCCGGATTTCAATCGCTAGTCATTCTCATTTAGGACTTTTGTTGTCAATTAACAACAAATCGTAATACAATGCGTATAAGGTTGACCAAAAAAATAAGAAATAAAAAAGAATTAAATATTTTATACACTGACAGTATATATATATTATCAGTGCCGAATGACTGACGACTATACAAAATTTGAATTTGAATTTGAATTCCAACTTTTTCACATGTATCATGGATCCAACGATGATGACAGTGTATACACCGTCAGTGTATACAAGATTTACTCAATAAAAAATGGGGTGTAAGTGCATTGCATCGTATTGCAATAGCCCTATAAATCTTTAGGGAAGAGAGGGGGGGGGGGGTGGGGGATCTTGAAATTGTCCCTTTTAAGTTTCTACCCTAAGGTTGCCATGTACAGATCAGATGCATGAAAACGAATGGCAGTGTCGCGGACTGGCATAAACATGAATCTGGCAGATCTAAAAAGGTGAAGAGGCAAAAGCAGGTGGTTGTGACGTTAATGAGTTCAAGTGTGGGTAAGCAAGCAAGGTGTGATTACTATAATAAGTGGTGGGTGGGAAGATTTGACACTCTATCCGCATAAATCTTTACGTTTACCAACTTCAATTTTCCCAACTGTACATAATAGTTTAAGCAAAATGGCATAGTAGTACACTATATTGGCTACTTTATGCTGTCAAACTTATGTACCGATGCTGGGTGGAAATTCTTTTTCCCTTCTGTATGTATGTACAAGAATATGCTCGAAGCCTTTGGATGCTTTTAATATTTTTCAAATATTATTTAATTTTCATCATAAATACTAATATTTATAAAAAAAAAATGTATTTTTTTTTATAATGAGAGTGTTTGCCCACGGATGAAAGTTGTCGGTCTGCAACCCAACCCAAAAAAAAGAAAAGAAAAAGGAAAAGGAAGACCGATGGCCGCACAAAAGTGGACTCAAGGAGGAGTGCTTTTTCGGGTCATAACTGGGCCTAAACTAGGATTGTTGGACTTGCATCTCTGGGCTAAAGGAAAGAAATTTGGAGAATGACATTGGGTCGTTCGCTTTGTTATCTCGTCAAGGACCATTTATTATTATCTTTAATTTTTAAGCAATTGGAGAGGTCAAACTGAGTAATTTTAACCAATTGGAGAGGACTGTCAATGATCAGTCCTACTCTCTAACTTTTTAGCCTTGAGAATTGAGTGGCCCGTGGGCTTGGGAATACGAAACGGTGCCCAGGCATTTAACTTTTGTCTTCTCCTAACTTCTGCTTTCCCCTCGCCGAAGATGGAGCCCAATTTCTACCAAGACAGCGTCTAGGCCACATTTTTCTTCTTTTCAAAAAAAAAAAAAAAATAAAAAATCGTTTGTTTTAAAACAGAAGATGAGAACGCGACATTGGTATCTCATTCTTGGAGTAGTAGGGTGAAGGGAATGAAGAAAAGAAATTAGTGAAAATTGATATATATTATACCACAAAACTTAGTGGGTCGGAGAAGCATTATTCATTAATGGGTTCCACATGTAAAAAAAGAAAAGAAGATGCTGTGACTCCTAACCTACTTTCGAAAAGCTGATATGATATGGCAATTTGAAACGGAGTATCAAATTCATACTCAAACACATGATGTGGATACTTAATTTGTTAACAACCCCGCGTTTGTCTTTCAACCATAATAACAGGTACCGTCCTCAATCTCCACAGGAGCCTCCTTCCTTGTTCTTTTTTGTTTCGAATGCCTGTACTTTATCTCCTTTTCTTTTCAGATTCCCACCTTTTGTTTCTTCTGCTCTTTTTTTTTTTCCATTTATTTGGAGATTTGTGCAGGAAAACGCAATTTCTTTTTGTATATAAAATTGCATGAGTGAAATTACATTATTACAATGTCACCCACTGTATTGCATTCGTTCCTGCCAAGTTTCATAAGCCACGGAGCTCCACGATAATTAATTCAGCTCCTTCGTTTTCCAGTGGGTCATTTTTGTGGAGTACCGGTGGGATATGGTATGATCACGTCGGATCCCAGGACAGGCCTGAGTCGTCCCTCACGAGGCATGGTTGGCACCGGCCGGCTTCGATGTTGATTCTCCACTTTCAGTATTGCGTAATCTTGGACCACCGTCCTTTTAACTTCTGCTCCACATTTTTCGTCCGGTGGCTTCATCCTGCGAATCTAATTAGCAACTCGTGTTTGGTGGGTGGGTCAGCACGATCATACCCGCATTTATAGTGAACTTCTAACACAGCAAAAAAGTTCTATTCAGCGGTTTTTTTTTTTTTCGGGTGGGTACGACTGGATATCTACAACTCGATCTCTTTACTATCAGTTACAGGCATTTCATGTATAGATTAATTACTCGTGACATTTTACCATGTTTAGAAAACATAGCTGAAAATCAAAGCTCCTGCTTGTAAAAAAAAAAGTGCCAAGTCTTTTTTTGAATTGTAGGTCGGAGGTTCGAATCTCACGTATAATGAAAAAAATTCAAAAGAGGTGTTAGAGCGCTCCTTTGACCTAGTCAGATCTCTTTAGGCTACTCCTTGTAGAGCAGGTTAGATTAGATTCAAAGGAGGTGATAGAACACCCTTTTGATCTAATCAGATTTCTTTAGACTCTCATTATAGAGTAGGATAGATTAGATTATACAAACCCCACCTATAGTGAAAAAAATGCAAAGGAGTTGTTAAAACACTCATCCAAATGAGGTGTTAGAACACCCCCTTGACGTAAATAAGTCTCTTTAGACTTTCATTGTAGAGTAAGATAGATTAAATTATACAAATGTTATGTTGTTGGAAAATTGCTAGCTGAAAAGCAGTCTGTGACTTTAATTATTCTCTTGCCTGTAAGCCAGCATGGTGGCATGCGGGACCATCTCCCTTTTCCCTTTGCCCTGTCCCTGGGTCGATCCCTGGGTATGACTGTGTTTTAATATTCGGATCGGATCGGCCGGTTCGATCGATCGAACTGGAAACCGGTCAAATATCTGGTCCGAGTCATGTTTAAAAACCGGATAAGTCAAAATCGGGTCAAAATCGGGTTTGATCGGGAAAAATCGGATTTTTCGGTTCAAACAGTTTTTTCCAAACTTTTTCAATATTATGTTTTGACCCCTAGATTGTTAAAAATTATTAATATACCTCAAATATTTCATACTTTATCAATATTTTCTTAAAGTTTGGTATTATTTTTCAATTAAGTCCATAATTTTAATTCTAAACTTGTTAATGCTCATTAAATAATATAAATTGTTACTTGATTGTTCTAATTTTTTTGAATTTTTTTGTTAAATATATTTAAAATATCAAATATATATGAATATACCTTTATTAATATTAACATGTTATTAGGTATTTTACATATAACATTTTAATTTTTAAATAATTTTTATTTATGACATCATCCAGTTCAATCCCTATCGAATCCGGTTGAACCCATTGACCCCTGACCCCTAAACTTGACCGAATCGATACCCGGTCCGGTTCTGAAAACATAGACTCTCAGAGCCGCGCCCTCCCTTTATTCTTTCCAGTCCGCAAAACTTCAGTTATATGAGCTGAGAAATCGCCTATCTTCTGCTCTAACCTACCCTTATCCTTCCCACCCATTCCAACAAAACAGTTCTACCACTAGAGGAATGGGGCCATGTCACATGCCTTGCCCACTCAATCATAGAGAGACCAA